CTTGTGGTGAGCCACAGTGTTTCTACAGTTAGAAAAGCAGACGGAATCACATTCTCTGTTCTTTTTCTAAGATCAGGCCCTGGTTGAAGACATTCCTTTCTTGTTGCTTCCCTGCTGTGAGGGAGCTTTGCTTGTCCTGTTACCATGTAAAGATTAGCTTGCATACCTATAACTAAATCAGTACACTTAGGACTACCTCATCCCACTTGGAACACTGTGTGACTGTATCTCAGCCCTGCTCTGCCTCTTCTAGATGGAAGCCTCTTTTGATGGAAGCCATATGCCTACACTTCACATAGGCACGACATACATGGTTTTAGTTTATCAGCTGAGCTTCGTGTGATAAACTTCACTGAATTTAAAGTTTACTTTAGTGTGTGAGCAACTGATAACAAAGTTAATTATAGAAGTTATGGGTCACTGAAGAAATATAGCTTGATACAAATATTAAAATTATGTCTTAATCATTCTGTGTTTACTTGTAAGTTCTCTTCATGTGCTGCAGGGGGAAGGGTAGACAGCCATCAGACTCTACAGTTTTCCAAAGGCAGATAGCTGCAAGTCTGGTTGATGATTCAAACTAAATGGAACATTCCATAGACACCACGCAGGTTCCAGTGGGTTATAGGCTGGCTTTGTCAGCCTCAAGCTGAAGGAAAAGAAACCAATACTTTTGTTTTTGTTTTGGGTTTTTGAGACAGGCTTTCCCTGTGTAGCCCTGGCTTTCCTGGAACTCACTTTTTTTTTTTCTTTTTAGAGCAGACTGACCTTGAACTCACAGAGATCTGTGTGCCTCTGCCCCCCTAGTGCTGGGATTAAAGGCATGAACCACTGCCTGGCTTGGAAGTATGCTCTTATATACAGCTTTATTTTGGCTTAATAGATACCCGTTGCTTTGTAAACAAATACCATTTCTTAATGCTTTTTGCATTCTTTCACCTTGACTTTAACAATCTCTGCTTGTTATACCATCCTAATGCCTCAAAATCCATAGCACTGTCTTCCAGATATGACAAGGAAACTACATACACCCATGAGATCTCAAATCTCAATAATATGGCTGCCTAAACAGACCTTAACAATGACCAATGGCATGCCAACATGGATGGGAGAAATCTCAAGGGGCCCCACACCTAGATAAAGAGCTACAGGCAGTTAATAACTACTGAGTGAGGGAGAATCAGCCTTCCCCAGGGAGGAACCTCGTAAATGGTTATCCACTACCAAGCAGTCAGTCCTAAAAACATTGATGCAAGCAGCAGTGAACAGGCTCAACACGTTGTAGTCATGAAGTATTCACATACATTTGTAACAATAACAATTCAAAAAAAAGAGGCTGTGAATTTGAGAGGGAGTGGGTTTGGGAGGAGTTGGAGAGAGAAGAGGGAAGGAAGGGGTATAATTATATTTTGCTTAAATAAAAAATTAAAAATACATAGTACTGTCTTTGTACTTATTTAGGTACCATTTCCACATCGACTACCCTTGGTTAACTTTGACATTTAAACCTCCATGGCATTTATTGTGTGTCTGTATATAAAACTCAACATAGGCTGATAGAATCATTGATGATTTAGAATCATTGCAACTAATCCAATCCTTTGTTAAGCTTTTCATCCTTTGAGGAGGTTATATATATATATATATATATATATATATAT